GCTGATTACTGAGAGATTGTGTATCTTTCTTATATTTTTTGGCCATTTATGTTTCTTCTTCTGTGGATGCTCCAACATCTCGGTTCTGCTTTCAGGAAATACTCCACCCTTTCCACGCTGGTGTGCATGCAGAGCCAGCTTTCTCATAGATCAAGTTTCCACTTACACGTGGGTCTGTTTGGGGGCTTTCTGTTATGTTGTACTGATGCAATTTTTCACCTCTGCTCCAATACCACTGTCCTTATTATTGCCTTTTTATGATAAGCCTATGATAATTCCTTCCTCCCCCCCGTCATTCCAACCTTTTGGGATTTTGAATGGAATTGTTTTGAATCTGTAGATTAATTGGAAGACAGTTGAACTTTTTACGATATTGAATCTTCTACCCAAGAACATGGTTTGCCTTTTGATTTACTTAGGGCTTCTTTAATGTTTTCCAATAAGGTTTGTAATTTCCACTTCACAGTATAGCTTGTTCCATAACATTATATAGAGAGCTGCTTCATTCTCTGAAGAGCTGTGTGATACTCCACTATGTGGAGGGACTGTAATTTATTTTGCCAGGTTCCTAATGAAGTCCCTTTAGGATATCTAGGATCTTTTTACATAATAACAAAGCTTCAGGGCATAACCATGAACTTACTTATTTGAGCACAACTGGAAGTATATCTGTAGGATAAATTCCTGGAAGGAAGACCACTAAGTCAAAGAGTGTTTACATCCCCTAGTGAACAGACGCTGCCTTCTGCAGAGGCTGTGCCATAAAATTGCTCTTTTTATGGTTAAGTACAACTAGGTCTCCCTTCAGTTTTCATTCTCTGTGTCTTCTTTGTACCACTGGAGACTTCACAGATGATTCTGGAAATTCTTTCCTTTTGTCTCTGTGGCTACGCATCAAAGATTAAAACATTTTCACTTTAATCATTCATTCGTTTGTTTACTCATGTACTCACTCATGTGCTTAGATTGGACAGTCCACCAGGGGGCCCCCCATTTCATTTATCGAGAAAAATATTGCTGAACCGTGCCAGCTATGTATGCCTATCTCTGTGTAACTGAAGGTCCCGGGAAGTTCCCAAAATAGGGGCATGGATGTTCAGAGTTGGAGAAACTGAGGCATGGGGCATTAAATTGCATGACTGGAGTCGGAAAGCACATGAATGGCAGAACTAAGATTGTAAATGTAGTTCCTTACCCCTGACTGTCCATCTACACCAAGAGTCCCCAGGAGCCATCCACGGAAAGGCTTGTCTGCCTTAGACAGGAGTCTCCCCCCAGGTGTGAAGACCATAAAGCAGCAGATTAGCCTGCTCTGTCCTTGCAGCTGGTCCCCACCTGCCCTGAGCCTTCCAGAACCCCGGTACCTCCACCCAGGCTGCAGCCAGTGGCCAGGGAGTCTGGGTCTGGCTGCCAAGTTTCCATCTCAGCTCCTTCTCCAAAGCTCCACGGAGACTCTCCCGCCCCCACCCCCTGGCAGTGGACAACGACATCTGGGCCTGCCTGTCGCTACCCTTTGGAATGGAATTCAGAAGTCTGAAATATCACTCTTTGCCCTAGTGGGAAGACTGGGCTGCCCGGCCCAAAATAGCTGGGAGAGGCGGAACATCAGGACCGCAGTGGGAAAAATCACAGCACTGCAAATGACAGGCTGTGCTTATCTGGAACTGAGCATCTTACAGACTTTAACCAAGGTCACCAGGTTATTTCCAACCATGAGAAGACAGACTCTGAGCAGCAATGACATGCCCGGAGAGAGAGAAGGAATTGCCAAACCAGGGAAGACATAGAATGTGCCACCTCATGGGCAAGGATTCCAGGGAATGCCCCCCCCCACCACCACCTGACCTTCACCCCTGTGAGTGTCTGGGCTTTACATCCCATGAACTGCCCTTGTCTAAGGATGCGGAACCCCTTGAGAATGTTCAGGAAGCCTTTAGGAGTTTGGCCTAGACATCCCTATGAAGAAACTGTGAGCTCCTAGGGAATTCCTGGAAGGGTGTGACCTACAGCTCATTTGGGAGCCTGAAGGAGAGGCCTTGGGGTGGGGGTGCTCATCATTCTGGTTAGCCCTGGCCTCTGACCCATCACAGGGCTGATGAAATCCCCCCAGGCTGCTGCTGGCTCTCGGTTCTGATTTGTTAATGTCATTTTGCCATGATTCTTGTCCTAGTGCTGGCCGGGAAGGCCTGACAGGAAGGTGGTTGCTGAACTGGGAACTTTGTGTCCTGGTTGCTTGGGGGCGCTGTGGCCTTAATGGAAGAGAACGGAGCAGTTTGCAAGACCAGTCCTGGCTTGTCAAATGTCTACCTTTCTACTTAGATTTTTTAAAGCAGTAATGAAGTAAATGACAAAGGGCCTGAGGGACCTGGCCAGGTCTGTGCTTGGGTGACATATGTTATCTTTTTTATCAAAGGCTGACATGCTTTCTTCCAGAGCCTGGCTTTGTGAGTGTCCACTTGCCTGTTGGCTGGAGTTAGGCCTTGATGGCACTACCCAAGATGTACTCAGATCTCCACTCTGTCCTTTGGAAATTCCCACGCCTCAGAGTCTCTGTCTCACATGAGAATCCTGGGAAATGCCAGGCTCTTGTTGCCACATTGAATATCAACATCCCCCTCCCAAGCTCCCCCAAGATTTCTGGAAATGAGGAAAATGAGTAATCATATTCTAATTCCTTGGGAGATGTGAGGGCTCACCCCAAGGGCAAGGAAGGAAGATTATACTTATAACAGTGATAATTACAATGAATATTGTAGCACTTTGCATCTGTTCTATCAACAGTTTTATCAACCATGTAAGAATTACAAGTTCAAAATCCTTTACCCTGGATCCTCAAAATATAAAACCTAGTCTCCCCCTAAATTTGGCACCAACAAGTTTGACAGAACAATGTGACTGGAGCTGCTGTGAGACTATGAATGGCTTTCGATTATCCCTGTGCAGAATATGGAAGTGTCCGAGGGGTGCTGGGTGGACTTGCTCAGAACGGAATTTGCATCTTCCTCTGAACTCATCTGGCCTCATGGGTTCCAGATAAGAGACTGTGGTCCTATCTCTGCTTCAGATATAAGTGAACTATAAGGTTCACTGCGGTTGGGCAGCATTCCAGGCTGAGGACTCAAAGCCTCCTACTGGAATGAGCCAGCAGCCACCAGAAGAGACATCTGACTGTATTTCTAGAGCCCTGCTCTATACTGGGCCTTCGAGTTCATGTCTTGGAATTATATTAAAAGTAAGTGTCTTTAGCTCTTCAACACCAAAGCCATCTTGGATGGGGTAAAGAGAGGGAACAAGTCTTCCATCCCTATATTTGTTTCTCTTTCAAGCTGCACGCCAACTTCACCTGCACTGACTTCCGGTGTGGGTCCAGGGCTTCCCCACGGCTGCGTCTCTGAGGCTGGGCAATGGGGAGCTTTCCCATTGCACACAGGGAGTTCCTGGTTCACAGGACTTCCGAGAAAGACCTGAATTTCCCGACATCCTAGACCAAGGTCCCGCAGAGGCATGCAGATGGAGCCTGCGTGCCTCTTCTGTGTCTCTTACTGTGGTCCCCCCTGATATGCTCACTGTGAAGGCTATTTGAGGACAGAGAAACTAGGGGAAGGTCAGTCAGTGTGCTGGGTTGTTGGCGGGGAAACTTCCTCATGTTTTGCACAGGAATGATGAGCTTATCTCCGGGTTTTCCTGTGTTGATAAGTAACCAGGGATGTAAGTTTTGCGAAGCTTCAGACACATTCCAGAGATCACAAGCAATTCCCGAGTCTTCTACAGCTGACCGAAACCCCATCTCCAGTGGAGACATGTTTACTTGATCTTGCCATAGTGACCCAGAAGTTCTCTGGGCCACTTGGGACCGGAATCATGTCTACCATGCCCCCCCAGGAGGAGGCTGGCTGCCAGGGGTCTCTGTGGAGTGGCCACTGGGTACCCACTGGCTCCACCACTCAGAACCCTCCCTCTTTCATTTCCATTGTTCTCAGCTGGCTCTAGCTTGGGGTACCGGATGGGTGTCAGGCACAGACCCCCCCGATCTGCCCTTTTGATTTCTCAGCCTTCCAGGCAGACTGGTGAGGGGCAGAGTCAGAGGGGGATTTCCAAGGCAAGTTAGAATACCCCAAGCATCCCAAACCAGCATTCCCATTTCTGTGTCTCCTGCCCAGACCCAGTGAGAGAGGCCCTGGGAGGCTCTGACGGCAGAACAGCGTAGGTAACAACATCCAAGCTCGCTGGGTGCTTCAGAAAGAGGCAAAAAAGCAAAAGCTGTTATCACGGCAGAGTTTTGTTTCTCTGGCCAGATTCTTCCCCTTCTCGGGGTATGAGAAGATTTCAGGACTATCCAGTCTGACGCAGAGTTTGGTGATGGAGACCAGCCTGGCCAGGGGCATCTCCAGAGAAGTCCATGGCAGCTACCAGGATGAGAAGTGGGGCCAATTACTTGTTTAGAAAGAAGTTTTATATAATATGGAGAAAGTGTCCGTTTTTCACATCAGGAATGAGAGGCCTGATAGAGACTGAGAAATGCGCAAGTCCCTCCTGGCCCCACCCCTGGCTCACACTGTCCTCTGGACCATCTGCGCCCTCCCCCCCTTACTGATTCTGATCAGAATATGATTAAAGTAGTAACCACCACCGCCTGACAATGCACAGACGAACCCACACACAATTTTGCATTCGGCTTTAGGAGGTTCACAGATTCCCCCAAACCTGTCTGTGCTCCCTGGACCCTAGGTGGAGCCACTGACGGGAGGTGTGTCTCAAGTCGCCCCCGTTGGGGACTTGATGCCGTGGAGCTGGCCACTGGCGCTCCCTGAGCTCCTTGGGGCCCACCTCCCTGCCACCCAGCAGGGGGGTCCTGACCCGCCCTGTGCTGGGCCTCTAGTCGCCCCCACACCTCTCAGCGGCCCCCCCAGGCCGGCCGGGCTGCGAACTGGCTTTGCGCTGCCCGCCGGGCACACACACAGTTAATCCCTGGCGGCTGCTGTTTGGATAAAATGCGCTGGGAGCGTTCGCGGCTCCGCGGCCGCTCACATCTGGCTGGGTTTGCTCTTTGCGCGGCTGTCCCGCTCTCTTCGTCTCTTCCTTTACTTTTGAGAAACCGCGTTTCCGCTTCTGGCCGAACAGACCTCGGAGCCCGGGAGGCCGAGGGGCAGGCGGGGGCCGCCTGCTGCCCGCCCCCCCGCCCGCTCCGCGCCCTCTTCCCGAGGACTTCTTCCCCGCGTCTCCCTCGCCCAAGCCTGCGCCTCCCCGACCTGGCCGGGAGGAGGGTCCGCCGCCGGGAGATGCTCTAGGCGGCGCGGGGCGAGCCTGCGAGGCCGCGGCAGGAGGTAGGTGGCGCGGACCCGCGCTGCCCCGCGCGCCGCGTCGTGGCCCCAGCCTGGCCGCCGGGCACGGAGCCGCGCGTGGGAGGGGCCGAGAGACAGGGAGGTGCTGGGAGGGTGCCCTGCGGTCTTGCCCTTCCTCCCAAAGCGGGGGTGCCGTGGGGAGCCTTGAGCTGGTGTCCCCCTGTGGCCAGGGAGCAGGGTGCCCTGTGACAGACGGGGGTTGGGACGAGCGGCGGCACCTCCCCATTTTCTGTAGAGTGTTGATCTTGCTGCACACTGTTCTGGGCGTGAAAGGAAAAGGAACGGCACCCAAGTCCCCGCGCCCCAATATTGCCAGGACCACTTTGAGCCAGGTTTGCCCAGCCTTGGTGGTGGCCAGTTTGGACCCCACACTGAACAGGAAATGCTGACTGACTCCTGCCTTTAATGGCCTTGGTGTTCCTGAGGAGATCCGGTCTGGACAGGGAAAAATAATGTCCCTTTTCTGGGGACACTCCCATGCTGTGGCACTGCTGAGTGGCCTCTGGTTTGGGGCCAAGTCGCTGAGCTGTGTTGACCCACCACGTAGCATCCAGCTTTTCTAGGCATCTCCATGGGTTCAGGTGTGGTCCCCACCTGTCCTGGGCGCCCACGTCCTGTCAGCCCGGCCCCCTTGTGCGGGCTGATGCGGGGGCAGCTCCTGGGTCTTCCCTGTGTGCCCTGGGCCCCCTGGGCCCCCCTGATCCACTGGTAAGGGAGGGAGGAAGCCGACTGTCTCTGGGACTTGTTTTTCTTCTATCTCACTTAGTTTCTAAGAATGGGGGCAGTCTGGCACATTTGCAGCTTCCTCCTTCCGAGCTTTAAAAATGAGGAGTGTCCTGAGAAACTGAGTTTTCTCAACCCATAGCTATGTCCCAGGTCCCTGGGGGAGGATGTGAGGTCCTCAGAGGCTGCTACGCCTTTGCTTTTTATAGTGCAGGAAAGCAGGCAGTCAGCCCCATGTGCAAGGTCACAGATAAATGCATTTGACTGTTGCGTGTGCTGCAGGGGGAGGCCTGCTCAGTGTCCCTGCCTAAGAGAGATGAAGGTGAGATGTGGGCCGAGGACTGAGTCATCCTTCCCTCCCCTGCTTCTCCAGTCTCCCTCAGACTGATTGCTGAGAGGAGCTTAGGGTTGACCCAACAACACCTGCGGCAATAGCAGTAATGGCAGCCATGGATGTGTGTGTGTGGGTGCACGCGCGCGCGCGTGTGTAGTGGGTTTCCCACATGACAGGCGCTGAGCAAATGTTGATGCTCAATGATTCTGTCAATGGCACTCATCCCGGAAGAGCTCAGAGAGGCTCCCGACCGGCCCGGAGGCAGTGGCCGGAGGACCCAGGACCCCAGCCTGCATCTCTGTGCCCTGAAAGGGATGCGCCTTGCTCAGGGATGCAGAGCTCTCCGAATGGAGGCTGGAACCTCCGTGTCTCTTTCCAAATTTCCCCTTCGCAGCTGCCCACACAGAAAGTGCCCTGGGGCGGGAAGGACCGCTTCCTGTTTCCCAGAGACCTCTGCCCTCTCCTCTCTTGCTCCGTCTCATCTGCTCCCATCTTGAGGCTCCTGGGGCACTAAGAGAAGGGCCCCTGGTGAACAGCAGGTTAAGGAGACAGAGAAAAGCCCATGCAAGAGTTCTTAGGTGGGCTCGAATCCAGCCAGAGGATGCCACTGCCTGTCAGGGGGCAGGCGCATCGAGCCAGCAAGGGGAACACGCACAGGTGGGAGCTGGGAAAGCCAGCGTGGCTCCGGGAAGGGTGCTGGCAGCTTCCTCATTCCCGGGACAGAACCTCCCTATTTAGGGCAACCAGCACAGCATACCTTTTTCAGAACATGCTTCTTTCTCCTTCCTCTTGTTCCTCTGGTGCCTTCTGCCCTGCCACCCCCCCTCAGCTGTAATTAGCATGACTCATAAACCAAATATTCTGGCATTGAACTTCACCCATCAAAACAAAGATGAAAAGAATTTCGTAGATACAGTTGTGCTGCTGGGTGTCCGCAACCGGACGGAGGGCTTGGCATCGTGCTTTTGTCCTCAGGGTCCAGCCCCTTGTGTGGGTCCTAGTTCCTGGAGCTGGGGGTGGGGAGCTGAGGCTGCAGGGCCCTTGGGGAGGGGTGGGGGGTGGGACAGCTCCCAATGGAAAGGAAGAATTGAGAGGTTCCAGGTTCTGTTATGATCCCCACACTCTGCTGACTGCCTAAGGCTATGCTGCCTGCCCATCTGCTGGAGAAATGGATGTTTCAGAAACAGCCGACTCTTCCTGCCCTGAGAGCCCAGAGGTGATGGCCTCCCAGAGTGCTTCATCTTGGCCTAACTATGGCGTGGGCTGAGGGTTATTATTTTTTTCCTGTTTTTACCTGCTAAAATATGCCTTTTTTAAAAACTCAAATGAGACAGGGCAGCTCCCTGGCCCCTTACACAGCACAAGGAATCGTCTGCCCACTTAGAGAACAATTTGGAAAAGAACCATCAAAGCTTGTACCAGGTGCTTCCTTCTGCCCTCTCTTGGGACAGCCCAGCAAGCTGGATCCAGGAGGCCCAGGATGCAGATTCTTACAGCCCTGCCAGGGAGTCTGGGCCTGGGTCCTAACCCTGGCAGGGCCAGAGCTGCACTTCCCCACAGACATGCAGAGGGGGCACGCTGGCCCTTCCCCTGCTCCCCAAGCCCTGCACTGTAGCTCCTGCTCCTGCAGGCGGTGTCCTCTGACCCTCATCTTCCTGCCTCTTGGGGAAGGGCTCACCAGTGTGCGCAGGAGCCGGGGCTCTTGAGCCCTTTGGGGGCTTCTTTATCTCCAGGTTCTCATCAAGGTTGCAACTTGATGTCTGAGAATTGGGAGACATGAGTGGCTCCCATTAAGCCAGTCATTCTTGTCCACGCTTGCTTTCCAGAACGGGGCCCAAAGAGGGAAGGGTGTGCGCTGAGGCACTGCAGGCTGTCCTCTGCCCACCAGGATGTCACTGGGCTGCCCCAGAGAACCCTGGAGTCAACCCCTTCTCCAAGCTGTGGACCGGCTGGCACAGTCCCACTGGGCGTCCTGCCCCATCCAGGATGGCTGTCAGGATGGCTGTGTGCCTGGCTGGGCCTCCGTGTCTGACCGTCTCCCTGGCTCCAGTAGGAATTTTCCTTGAAATGAGATGTGGGCAGGGAGGCAGGACAGGATGGGAGGACGGGAATAGGGGCAGACTGGGAGGGGAGTGGTGGGCCGTGGAGGAGGGGGCAGGCCTGGGGAAGTCAAGTTCTTGGTGCCTTGAGCTGAGTCAAATGTTGCTGCTGGCCATGGGTAAGGCTGTGTTTGAGGAATCCCTAAACCCTTCTCCTCGGTTGTCCAAGTGGGCACATCTGGTTTCCAGCCGCCCTTGCCCTGGGGGCCAGGGAGGGAGAAGGATCCTGCCCGGACAGCTGCCAGCCCTGGTGGATTCGCAGGTGGCTGCAGGCCAGAAGTTGGGCTGGGCCCTGCAACTCTGCCCTGCAGGTTTCTTGGCTGGCTTTGAGAGGTGGGGTGTGATCAGAAACACTTGGGCCCTTTCTCTTTGTCTAATGTGGGCTCTGGTGAGAGATGGGTGGGTCTGGGTGCGTTTGGAGGGGCTGGGGGGCTTTCAGGTCTTCTGGTGTTCTGTACCTAAAACCAAAGGAATCAAACTCAGCGGTAGGTTTTCAGACCCCAGGGAGGTCTCAGCATGTTGCTTCAGGGGAGTCAGTATTCACCAAACCCTCAGTACCTGCACAGGACCCAGAGTAGAAAGTGCCCAGTGATTTGCTGCGCGGGCCGGCACTGGCAGGGACATTCCTGTCCAAGCCACGGCTGCGGTTGCTGCTGTACTCGAGTGAGCAGGCAGTGGGCGCCCACCACAGCTTGGCAGGGTGAGCCCTATGGGCATCTTTCCAGAGGCCCCTCAAGGGAAAGTAGAAAGCCTTGTGCTGTCAGACACCCCCAGGTCTCACTGCCCCCTAGCACCTCCCTGCTGTGGGGCCTGGGGTGAGTGGTTCCTTCACTTATCTGACAAATTGAGGTGCATTGTAGAGATCAAGCTTGGTGGTGCACATAAAGCACGATGCCCAGAGCTGGCACATAATAGGTGCTTAACCAGTGGTAGCAAGGCTTTGTTGGAAATCTCTGCTACATGATAGGGCTGCTGCTCCCAGCCACTGCACAAAATTCCTGGTGATGGGCTCAGGACTCAGCTCCTTTTCCATCTGTTTCGTAGCCCTGGGCACGTCCTGCAGATGCAAGAAAGAGCCACAGGGAGGGGCGTGTCCCAGACAGAACAAAGCCCCTCACAGGAACTGTGTTCTCTGTAGCTGGCCTGATTCTGATCCAGGTGAGGCGCCCTTCCATGGCCTGTGGGCACCCACAGGGGTGCTGCTGTCCCAGGGAAGAGCTCTGCTTTCTGGGCCATGGTGTCTCCAGACACCTGCCTGTCACCCAGGAGACACTCAGTGAACACTCGTGAAGTGACGTGGGACTCCAGCCTGAGGTCAATCTATACTCTACACCATTCCACTTGAACCACACTCTGACACCACATCTCCCCTGCTCTCCTTTTCTTTGGCGTGCGATCATTCTCCCTGGAATAAACAAAATGCTCCCTTAATCCCCGGGGTGGGGCTTATTTGTCATTCTTTCTAAATGGAACATAATGTGTACTTCATATGAAAAAGTATGTGACTGTTATAGGGGAAAAAAACAGAGGATGTGCAACATAGGAAAATGACGAACATCGTATTTTCATCACCCAGAGGTAATTGTTGTTTGCAGCCTGGTGGGTGGCCGTCAGATCTCTGCAGTTGAGAGTGTGTGTGTGTGTGTGTCTGGACATGAATTGAAGGATTGAATCTTCAACCTGCATTTTCACTCATCACCACTTTATGAATGTCTTTCCATGTCAGTAAACATTCATCTATTTACAGAGGTCACTAATTGGAGCTGCTGCTGGAAGTGGCCCCTCCCCGCCCAGCCTTATTTATGTACTTATTTGAATGCCTCTGA